ATGTATAGATACTTTAACACCATGGCTCTAATGATAACTTGAATATCAGACTTCTTTCTCTTTCTCATCTTACAAAACACCTTTAGTTGTTCTTTATCTTGAAAGTTGTCTCCTAGCTGCACCTGTTAAAGGTCGAAGAGGGCATATGTGACAAATGGTGGGAGGTGCTGGGTGAAAGCCAGCTGTCTAACGTCCAAGCATCCTTACAGTGTGGCATTATCCTGTGAATTTATCAGCATCTGGTCTTCGGTTTTGCATTTCCAGAAAGATCATTTTATCTGTGTTTCAGAATTTATCTGACTCATGGAGACTGACTTGTGCTCATTAAACTCATAAGAAAAGCCAGAATTCTAATTAGTTAATTTATAATGAGAAATAAAATTTTCAAGCACACTAGACAGTCATGTCAGCCTAATAAAAGCATTCTCTCTGTGTAAAAAACCATATGGGAAGCCAGATTATAATCAGAATGTGGTTCAGTGTTTGGAATCTGAGCCAGGGGAGTTGGTTATATGATTATAGTGATTAATGACCTTAGACTCTGATTGTAATAGGACTCTTTCAGTTGTAGGTGACAGAAACACATCATCATGGGCAAAAGAGGGGTTTATTAAAGTACTGGAATGCCTCATGGAACTATGGTGAAATCTAAGGTGAAGCCTGGCTCCAGGGTTGACTGCAATCAGGAGTAAAATACCTCCAGGATTCTCTTCCTGTTGGCTCTATTTGCTTCCTCCTTTTTGCCCTCAGAGTTCCTCATTTTTTCCCATTCATCCTCCCATTATCAATCAGCATCCACTTGTCAGAGAGAACATTCAATGTCTGGTTTTTCAGGATTGACTTACTTTGCTTAGCGTGATATTCTCAACTCCATCCATTTACCTGGAAATGCCATAATTTTATTCTCTTTTAATGCTGAGTAATATCTAATGGATGTGAAATGGTACTTTATTTTGCTATACTTTGCATTTCACTAATTATTTGATTTACAACAGAATTTTAAGACTGAATTTATTTCCAAATAGTAATTAGCCATGCTGTTTTTTTACATTGTGAATTGTGCATTCCCAACTGAGATTTTTGTCTTGTTGATTTGTGAAAGTGTTTTAAAATTTATTCTAATAAATACAGGTACTGATCCTGTTTTGTTTAAATTTATAATGAATTTCTTCCTCCAGTCTATGACTTTCCTTGTAATTTTATTTTTGATGTCTTTTGATCAACACAAGTTTTGAAGTATTAGTCAATACTTCAATATTAAATATCAAACTATAAGCTTTTTAAAAATTACACACACATACATATACATGTATATGCATATACACACATATATGCATGCACATGTGTATATATGCTGCACACGTGTATATACATATATATGCATATACATGTATGTATACACACACGTGTGCATGCATATATACACGTGTATGCATATATACATGTGTATGCATATATACATATGTAACATGCATAATATATGAATTCATATGTAACATTTTTGTAAGACTAACCAGTTAGTCCAGTACCATTTGATCCACCCTTCCCTTGCTAATTAACAAAGTCATTCTATCATATGCCAAGTTCTCATATTAAACAGGTCTATTTCTGAGCTCTAGAGCTCTATATTCTACTCTGTTGGTCTATTTGTATATTCTTGCACTGATACAACACTGTATTAATTACTACATCTTTATGCTATGTCTTGATATCTGATAGTGGGAACTTAACCCTCATCTTCCTTTTCAAAGTCATCTCCTCTGTCCTTGGCATTTTTATGACTCCAAAAAGTTAAGATTTGTTTAACAAGTACCATGTAACACCTTGCTTTTGGGTTTGGATTTTCTGTTTATTTAAATATGTTGGATTTTCCTGGACTAGCAACAACCATAGGTAATTCTACCAAGGGGAAATAAGTTTGGGCAGTTTGCTCAGTATTTTAGTTTAAGAGTGCCCTCTTCTGTTAGGATATTGAAGTAAAGTTAATTTAATTGGTGACACTTAACTGGATGGAGGGTAGATGGTGGAGGGAAGAAGGAGGGGTATTGATAATGTGGTATCATCTTATAGTTCCATGATCTTTAATTTCTGGTGTTTGATTTTTTTCCCACCTTCCCAATTGCCCCCAGAAGCAATACCTTCCCTTGACTGCAGTTCTGGTCCTTTGTACTTGGCAAATCATGGTCCAGATCCTCTAATTTGAGACTGTTCTCAGTATCTCCCCACATCAGGGAAAGATGCTCTCTTTCTGGAGATGATGTCATCTATGTCCTACCCCTGCCTCACAAGGGACCTACTACCCTCTGCTCTCTTCCATGTAATCCTGCCTGACTGTGTCCCAGCGTGGGCTTTGATCTGACTCTGCACATTGATTGTGGATTGTTCCGCCTGCCTACATGTAAATTGAAACTTGTAATGTCAAAAGAAAAAAATAATAACAAATTTGAAGATCTTAGTTGGCTTTTACTTGCAATTCTAGAGTCAGATAGCACTTCATCCTATAAAATAAAATGAGCTGAACAGAGGTTGGTTTTAGAGACAGAAGGCGGAAGAAACAAAGAACAAAAAGTGGGTTGGTTGTTTCAAAGTTGTTTTCCTTGTAAAGGATAAAACAGAGGGACCTCCCTTGTTATACTATCTAAAACTGGTTTGCTGGGAGAGATATGGCTACCAACTCTCTCTCTCTCTGTCCTTATTTCTTGGCAAGTCTAAATAAACAACTTGGTTTTGGCTTGGTGGCATGGACACTCAGCATGAGATTTCATTTTGGTTTGTTCTGTTGGGCCTATTGCCAGAGCTCAGTTCAAACCAATAATTTCTTATACATTTTATTTAATAATAGTATTTTCTATCCTCTATTATGCTTCAATTATAGGTATGTGTATGATTTAATTTTCTTTGTTGTTGACGTGTAAAGCTTTGGAGGAGGGTATATGTAAAGATTTGGATTTAAGCAACCAAAGGGTGAAGAAATGTGTTAAAATCTTCCTCTATGACTGTACATCTTTCATTTCATCTTTGTGATTCTGTCTTTTTTATGCCTTATTTATTATATTCATCATTGGTTTATTGACTTAGGACTATTATATATAATCTTGGTGACTTGTCCCTTTAATCAGTTGGTAAGATCTCTTTAACTAGTAACTTTTGACTCTAAGTATTATATTTGCTGTTAGTGTAAGAATATAATTTCTTTTAGAAAAGTGTTTATATATATTTATAGACTTTTACTTTCAAGCTTTCTTTGAAAATAATTTAATGTTGAGTATTAACGCACATATTTGGACATTCAAAAATAATTTGATGCTCAATTTAAGTCTGAGAAAATGTCTTCACTAATGAGTTTAACCATTTTACTTTCATTGTGGCTGCTAAGACATTTTATGATTTTAATTTGTCCTATGGGTGGAAATAATTTTTTCCCAATTCCTTTTATTTTCTTTTCCTTACTTTATTAAAGATTGATTTTTCTTTTTAAAATGTCATTTACCAGTTTGAAAGTTACACATCCATTTTTTCTTTTGACAATCAGTGCTCAAAACTCTGGTGTGCAACCGGAGTCACCTGGCAGGATTGTTACACTACGCTTGCTGGGCTCCACCCATGGAGTTTCTAATTCAATGGGCTTGGGGTAGGACCCAAGTGCATTTGGCCCTCCAGATCCACAGTTTCCCATCTGCATGTTCAACCAGCCAGACTGAATATATTTTTTTAAAAGTGTGTCTATACTGAACATGTACAGACTTTTCTCCCTTCAGTATTCCCTAAATAATGAAGTATAAGAATTATTTATGCATCATTTATATTGTATTAGGTATTATAAGTAACCTAGAGATGAATTTCAGCTCATAGGAGGATGTGCACAGATTATGTGTAAATACTACATCATTTTAAATAAAGGATGTGAGCATTCACAGATTTTGTTATCTACTGGGGTCTTGTACCCGGTTCTCCTGCAATACCCAGGGATGACTATACTTGCATTTTTGTCATGTTCCCTGGTGCTACTGTTGGGGACAACACCTGGAGGTAGGAGTTGGTGGTCATCACCAGATTAAATACTAACAACTGTAGCTGATAACCCATTTGAGTTGGACTTTGTTATTTTAGAATTCTTGTTAAAATGTCTTACTTTCCAAAGAAATTAGGTGGTTTCCTTGACCATCTAGTCCTGTAATATTGCCAGGAATAGAAGTAGGGTTGTAATTGCTTACAGGAGAATAATTTCCCCTTATCCTAAGCTCCAGGAGGAGACTTTCTTTCAAGTGTCTCTGGGCTGGGACCTGTGGTTTCTCTGGTCTCTTTTATGTAGAAGTGCAGACTTTACAGATTCTAGCTGCAAACTGGAGTTTAGCTCTTTGTCTCATGTGAAGCTAAGGCTGTTTCTCTTGACCTGAAGTTAAAACTCCCCCTCCAGGGCTGGGCCAACAGCTTTTATGATTTCCCCTTGTAGTGAGTGTCCTTTTCATTTCTCACATCTCCATGTTTCCCTTTGAGCTTGGCTAGGCTTGTCCTTGTGTGTGTGTGTGTGTGTGTGTGTGTAAGTGTTCCATCCAGCATTTCTGTGTGTTTAAGCGGGTAGGGGCTGGGTATACTCAGAGTTCTCAGTTTACCTAGTTGTCTTCTATTATCTCTTCAGCTGTCATCCTAAAGAGAATGTGGAGAAAAGGGCCAAAAAGGTTTCAGAATCAGGTAGAGAGTAGTAAAGAGAATTCCTGGAATGCAGAACATCCGAGTTCAGGGACTTGGAAGTTGGTAGCCACAAATTTTATTCACATAGAAGAGTAGTAGGTGGTGCTATATTGAAGTAATTGAAGGAGGGATACCTGGTGGTGGTGGGTGATGCTAAAAAAGAGCCTGGGGCATTTGTGGGGTTTAAATATTTTGTTGGGACCAGTCTATCCTGATGTTATTATTTCATGCAAAGTTTATAACACTAACATTTTAAAATTTCTTCTTTTTTGGAATCCTTTTATCAGATGTTGACTTATCCCTTTTAGGTATACAATGACAACATACGCTGAAGATTATGTTCCACCACATGATTATCCGCCACGTGTGAGTACAAGAACCACAATCTAAAATTTATGTACTTAAAATGACAGATTGCATCTAGTATAAACAGTTGATCTCGTGAAGAAAGAAGAAGTTGCTGAGATTTATGATGTTTTATATTTATTTAGATATATTAGCTGTTTGTGAAAGTCAATAGAATATTTTATGGTTATAATTTATTTTTGGAAGCTTATAGATTTTAGGGTGGAAAATATTGCAGTGTCCAAAACATATTAATCACTTTCTTTCTCATCTAGTTTATTGCTCCCATCTTAGACTTAATTTATTTGGAATGAGAACCTACCTTTTATTTGTATCTTATGGACACATGAATATGTGGCTTAATTTAGCTCTGGGAAATGTGTATTTTGATTTTTAAAAAGTTCAGTTCAAACTTAAATATATTTTTACTTTAAGAACTATACAGTAGGGCTCAGTTGTATAGCTCAGTGGTGCAAAGTATTTGCTTAGCATGTGTGAGACCTGGGTTGATCCCTAGTATCAAGAAAAAGAAAAAAAAGAAAATATGCAACAAAATTAGCTTTGCTTAGAAGTTTTAACCAATAAACATGAGATAGAAAAAAGATTTAAATATTGATAAAAAGAAAAATAAGACATTGTTATGTTCAGATTCTGTGATTATCTACTTAGGAGAACCAAGATATTAAAACTAAGGAATAATTAGAATGAATAAAATAGTTTTCCTTCATATCAGTAACCAGCTAGTAAATTATAAAGGAAAAAAAATACAAATTATTACAGTAACACAAATTTTAAAAATACTTTTATGAAAAAATATTTACCAAGGTGAGTAAAAGAAGATGTGATATTTCATCTCCAAAGAAGTCAGAGGCTACTTCTCCATCAAGAGGTGATTGATTGTCCCTCTGTCTCTTGAATCTGGACTGTCAGGTGACTGATTTGATTAGTAGGGCATTGCAGAAGTGACTGTGTAAACCTTACCTTAAGAACACTGCTTCTGCCTCTTGAAATGAATTACCATGTAACAAGTCTAGGCTACTCTGTTAAAAAGAGAGGCCATAGGGAGGAACACCCAGGAGCTTGTCTTAGAAGTGAGCAAGTCATCTTGGACCTCCAGCTTGTATGAGACTGATTCCAGCTGACCCTGACGGTGAAACCCCTGAGAGAACACAAGGGCAGAAGCTACTAAGTTCGTTTATTTGTTTTTTAAAAATCAAAAAATAACTGAGACAGAAATCTTGAATGAAAAAGAATAGCTAGCATTTAAAAGAACTGAAAAATTAATAATAAATTAAATTTATAAATTTAATATAACTCCAATGATTTGTTTTCCATCAGAATTTAGGATTCTAAGAATTACTTGAAAAAACAAATAGATGAGAATAAAATATATATAATAATTTTAAGGAAGTAAAAGACTTATAATATTACCTTTAGTTTATATTATATTCTTATTTTAAAATAGCATTCAAACCATAAAAACAGCAAATACAATAGTTTAATATTGATAAACTCAATACATACAGAACTCATACTTATGGCAAGGAAAATGTTAAAAACTCTAGAGAAACAATCAAAGGACATATAAAGGTAACTTACAAAAGTATGAAATATAATTAACTAATAAATATAGGTAATAAACCAATTTACAAATAATAAAATACACGAGTTACAATAATAAGATTTTTCTACTAAAATATTGGCAATATTTTTAAAAATAATAATCCTCAGTGAGGTAAAGAATGGAGTGAGATGTGTACTTTATCTGTTGCTAGGAAAACTAAATTGTTTCAATCTTCCTGGAAAGGGATTTGGCAATATGCATTAAGATTCCATTTGACCTAATAATTTTCCTTCTAGAAAATCTCCCAATGAACAATTAATCAAATGAGAAACAAAATTTATATCAAAATATGCTAATTACTTAATTATTTATATGGCAAAACTTGGTAATATCTAAATATTTCTATTAGGAATGGTGTTGACTATAATCATATGATGAGATATTGTACAGTCTTTATAATGTCCACAGATAGTTCTTAGTGTCTTAATAAATCTTCATTGAAGGTTAAAAAAATTAAGATGTGAAATTATGTATTAAGTTTACCCTAAATGGTTAAAATATAGAGGAAATTTAAAAACTGAAAAAAATGTTGAAATATTAGTAAATTTGGCCATTGAATGTTGAGATTCTAGGTGATTTTCTTCATCTTAATCCTTTTTAGAATTTTCCCATACAATAAGCATTATCATTAATAATTAGAAAATCATAAGGGAAGTATATTATTTAAATATACACTTCAGACCTATTTCCTTATTTATAATGGCCTTATCTAAATCCTTGAGTAAAAGGAAGTTGCATGACACCTAACTAAACACAAAAGGGGCTGGGGCCGTAGCCCAGAGGCAGAGCGCTTGCATATCGTGTGTGAGGCACTGAGTTTGATCCTTAGAACCACATAAAAATAAACAAATAAAATAAAGGCATGCTGTCTATCTACAACTAAAAAACTAAAAAGAAAAAGAAACTCACAACATTCAAGAACTAAATATAATAATTTTAAAGAATGTGAGCTTTATTTTCAGGGCACAACAATTTTTACCCATTATATTTTAAGTTCCTGTTTTTATTATTTTCAGCATTGTTTCTGATATTTCTCGCTTTGCTTGTTCCCACATCAGTAGCACAGCATGCTATAGCAGTTGTTTAGATTTATTGCAGACTTCTGTTTGTTCACTTCTAACTTCCGTGCCAGAGTAAATGATTTCAAGGCATACTTTTAGCACTGCTTCTAATATCCACATTTAATGAGTGCTTGCATTATATTGTAACAGGATACAAAAAATATTTTAAATTATAATAATAGTAGATGGTTAAAACCCAGCAGTGTAGTGATGGAACTCTGACAATGAAGTTACCATGCATGAAAATGTATGACTCACAAAATATTGAAAAAGAGCGTATTTGTTGACTTCCTAGAGTCATGGCATGTGGCCTTAGCAGAAGTTAGTTTCACCACTCATTCATCCTACTATGTTTGCCATTATGTAATTCTGGAAGAAATATGAAAGCATTTGGATGCTTATTATTTCAAACATGCATGAACCTATCCTTCAATTTTCATATTATGTTCTGTTACATTTTCTTAATTCACTTTTATATAAAGTGGGACAGAATTATTGGAGGTAAAGGGAATGCAAGTTATCATCTCATAGCTCTAAATAAAGACAAGGAAAGATAGATAAAGACAAAGAAAGCTAATAAGTCATTTCCAAGGAGAGGAATGGAAAAAAAATTGTGAGCTCTATCTTCTGAACTCCATTTCTTAAGCTGGAGGTCATTAGTGCATCTCAATTTTGCTTACAGATATCTTCTCTTAAAAGCTTCTCCATATCCTAAAGAGCCAGGACAGAGATTAAGTTGCAGAGAAGGTATATTAGAGAATGGGTCCAAGGCTGATGGATTGATGTGCAAGTCCTTAGGACAAGGCAGCAAGCTGAAGATTATAGTAGAGAGTTTACTGGCTCTAGTGAGATGAGCAAGGAAAAGAATTAGTTTGGCTTCAGGGACTGGCAAGCTCAGGAAGTTAAAAGGTCAAAGACACAAAAATATAGATTAAAAAAAAACAACAACTACAATATGAGAGCAGCTACAAGAGTGAGAGAGCTAGAAGAGGTCATGATTGAAGAGAGGTGTATTAGAATTTACTCTATTTCAGAGGTAGGACAGTTCTGGAAAATGACAGAGGATAAGGTGTGGCCATGAGAGTGAGTTTCTAACATGTATCAAATTCATTAATTTGAAAAAGTGAAGGCATGATAAACCAGGATGTTGGCTAGATCCAAAGTATGGATGTTGGAAATTAATATACAAGAGGGCAGGACAGAGGGCAGGGCCAAAGACTGTGAATCAGATGACCAGCCCCCAGTGAACTTCAGCAGCACCTGAAGTTCAGAAAGCATCAGAAAGTTGGTGGCTCTTTCCAGCCATGCAGCTATCAATTATTCAGTCACAAGTATAAAGCATCTTTTTGTCTTTTTTATTGGAATTGCCTTTTGAATTGTCTTTCTAGGTGTATGGGTATTTCCAAACCAGAAATTGTTGTATAATCTAGTTAATTTATAAGTAGAAAGCTGAGGAAGTTTTCAATAATTATGTTTTAAAAGTTAGCCTGCATTCCAAATGGACCTCAGCACTGCATGCACTGTCTTATAGTAAAGAAAAGAAGCTGTTCTGTTTTAGAGTTATTTATAACAAAAGCAGGATTGGCCTGCCCTACCCCTGGGTCTCTGTGAACTGGGAGGCATATAGCATTGTTAAAATACTGTATTTCTGTGCTGATTGGAAATTATCTGTGATTTGAAATCCTCCAGGACCCTGCTGGCCCAGACCTACCTTGGAATCTCTGCATTCAGCAGTGCATGATAATTTTCCTTGGCCTGAAACACTTTATTTTCATAGGCGCCTCCCTCCATTAAAATAGATAAATAGAAAAATATATTTTTGATTGAGTTGGAATAAAGACAAATATAATTCACTTGGATTTTTTCCCTTGGGGGGGACATTTAAAGCTTATTAAAGAAATATATATATTTTAGGCTCTATTTCTCATTAGCATTTTTGCAGAGAACGCCCCCCCCCCCCTTTTTAAACACTGCTTGAATCCTTGCCTATTTGTATTGTGAGTTTTTTTTTTTTTTTTTTTGGTACCAGGGTTGTGAGCCTCGGGGCACTTAACCACTGAGCCACATTCCCCAGTCTTTTAATTCTTATTATTATTTTTTTTATTTTTAGATAGGGTTTTGCTAAATTGCTTAGGCCTTTCTAAATTGCTGAGGCTGTGTTTTAATTTGTTATCCTCCTGCCTCAGCCTCCTGAGCCACTGGGATTACAGGTGTACCACTGAGTATTTTTGCATAAAACTAAAGTACTTAACACTCACTTTTTCCTGGGAAGTACTTTTTGACTTTTATATCTTATTTTAGGCAAAAATTTCTATGTAATAGCTATTATCAATGCA